GATCCTTGGGGGCATCTGGGAGCCAGCTTGTGTTTGAAAGCCTGGCCTAGTGGAATACCATTTAGAAGTCCCTTTGTGGTTTTCTTAGGAAGGCCCAAGAGCAGGGTGGGAGGAAAGGCCAGCACTTTTACCCTCCTGGTGACCCTGCAAGAGACATCGTGCCAACCTTAAATAATGAGATTCAGAAAACACGATCGTATAGAATTTATTCCAGTTCAGAGCTTGAGGACAGCCACCCAGGATCTTAGATCCAGTTGCTCTGTTGTTTGCCAGGTTGTTTACCAGAAATGTACATTAAAATAGCATGAGCTACTGATCGGCTACACACTGTTGTTTGTGTCACCGATTCCAGAACATGAAGTTAATGGATGAGGCAGGAACGAAATGCCTTTAATTTTTTTTTTTTTTTTGAGTTGGAGTCTCACTCTGTCGCCCAGACTGGAGTGCAGTGGCTGCTCCCGGCCACTGCAGCCTCGACCCGCTGGGCTCCGGTGATCCTTCCACCTCAGCCTTCCAAGTAGCTGGAACGCCCGGCTAATTTTTGATTTATTGTAGAGATGAGGTCTCGCTGCCCAGGCGGGTCTCGAACCCACGGGCTCAGGCAATCCACTCACCTCAGCCTCCCAAAGGCGCGGGATTACAGGCTGAGCCACCGAGCCCGGCTGTAATGCCTTTAATTAAACAGGCGTTGCTGGCCGTGGGTGCAAAGGGCTTGCCTGAACTCCATGCTCATGTCTCTCTGGGCCTGGTACATTTTGCACAACTCGCATAGCTCTGGCCACTCAGAGCTCTTCTTTTTTCAATAGTATCATCCCCATTTTCCAGGTGAGGAAACTGAGGCTCTCAGAGTTGGTAGTCATGTGCTGAGGTCACAGAGCAGGTATGAGCTTTGGTCCCAGATCTGTCACTTCCCAAGCCTGTCCATGGAGAACTGGGCTCTCTAGAGGGGTTGGGACAGACTCAGACTCCTCTCGGCTTACAGAGAAGCTGGCAATATCTGACTTTGCACTTTTGGTGTGTGTGGTGGAGGTCCAGAGCTAGGCTGGAATGCGCGGTGAGCAACTCTGTTCAGGTCCCACTGGAACCTTCCAGATGGCCCGGGGGACAGACGCTGCCTCCTTCTTCCCGAGGGATGCTGACTGCGAACACCTCCCCCTGACACTAGGGGGAAGGAGGCGGTGTGGATTTTAATTTATTGGGCACCTTTGGAGCTTTGCCTTGTCATCAGATCTCCATAGGGACCTCATGGGATGGCAGCCGCCTCTTACACAGGGAAACCCGCTCCGAGACAGGTGACTTGTCCAAGGTCACTCGGCTCGTGGGGGACAGAGCTAGACTGGAGCCCAGGCCTGTCCTTGTCTCACTTCTCTCCCTTTGGTTGGGGGAAGGGTGGGGGAAGGGGTGGCGGGGTGGAGGGGACAGAGCCTGGAGCTGTTTGCCCAGGTGGAGGTGGAGGTGGGGGAGGGGTGAGGAAGGTCCCATGTGCTCATTTTGCCCCCAGGATCTCCCATAACTGCTGCCCCTGCCTCTCCCTCCGCCTCCACCACCAAACACTCCCTACCCTTCTCTCTCCTAGGATGCTCTTCCTAGCAACTCTCTCTCTTTTTTTAAGTTGGAGTCTCACTCCATCACCCGGGCTGGAGTGCAGTGGCACGCTCACGGCCACTGCAGCCTTGACCTGCTGGGTTCAGGTGATCCTTCCACTTCTGCTTTCCAAGTAGCTGGAGTTACAGGCATGCGCCACCATGCCCTGCTAATTTGTTTTTGATTTATTGTAGAGATGAGGTCTCACCATGTTGTCCAGGCTGGTCTCGAACCAGTGGGCTCAGACAGTCCTTTTGCCTTGGCCTCCCAAGGTGCTGGGATTACAGGCATGAGCCACCATGCCCGGCTCCCAGTACCTCTCAGACTGCCTTTGGGTCTTGGTCAGAGGTCTCCTCCTCCCAGAGGCCCTTCCAGACCACTCTTCCCCTTATTCACTCCCCATCACAGTCATGCTTTGTCATTATCGTGCTCATTTCCTGGCCATGGCCTGTACTGGAGGTCACCTGCGTGCAGAGGCCTCTCTGCCTCGGTCACTGCTGTGTTGCTAGTATTAAGGACCACAGCTCTGAGAGCAGGGGTATCTTCTATCTCTCATGTTTGATTTGAAGTTGTTTATCTAAAGGTACCAAGGTAGCTTCTTTGATTGTTGTAACTTTCCATCCCCCCCTTAAAAAACTATCAGCGTGATTAGATCTTGGGTCATACCAGAAACCGCCCATAGGCCTTATAAATTCAGTCTGGGGTTGGTGGGGGGAGTAGGAGGTCTTGAGACCCCCCTTTGTTAATGTAGCCTTGGGGGCGGGTGAGGGGCTGTGGAGTATAAATTCTGAGTATGTTGCACTGCAGGAAGTGAGTTTTTTTGGGGGTACTGTACTGACTCACTCCCTGATTCCATGGTATCAGATTCAGCATTTCTCTCAGTTTCTGCTTCTTGTCTTTGATTGGCCACGAGAGATGGCAGCTGATTTATTGGATGAGACTAGACAACCAGGTCTAGGACAGCATTAGTGACGCAGTGGGGCCTCGGTCGACCTGTAGATGAACCTCGGGCCTGCCCAAATGGCCCTCAGTTTTGTATCCCGACTCCGGGCCCCCTGGGCTGGCCTCGACACTCACAGCCAGGCCAGTCTGTGCTCCTGTGGGGCGTAATCAGGCTCCCAGGACACCGCCCGCTGACCCCACTGAGGCCTTGCTGGGACAAGACACAAGGAGGCCCCTTCAACATTCTGTCCAAGCACAGACAAAAACAAGGTCATGTGCCACCCGCAAAATCCTAGACACATCCTCTTGCTAATGTGAGACTGCTCCTTTTTACTCAGTCAGAGTCTCTCCTACTTTCTGTCAGCATCTACTCTGGAGCAAACCCCTGCTTCCAAAACCCTCCCCATACCACTGATCAAAGCCCACATCCTGTAACTGGCTTTTTAGCAATGTTAGTTCTGGAAGAATTGTCAGGTCAGTGGGCCAGTGTGCTGAGCCAGTGCTGTGGATAAAATGCAAAGAATTGCACAGAAATTAGATTGGAAAATATAGTTTATTTAGAAAGTAAATGAGAGAGAGAGAGAGAGAGAGAAAGATTAAGATTCACTTCCCCAAGGTAGGGGAGGGGACCAAAGCTTAGCAAAACAAAAGCATGGTCATGGCTGCTTGAGGTTGCATGCTTTTATTCATGTATTTATTTTTTTGAGTTGGAGTCTCACTCTGTTGTTCAGCCTGGAGTGCAGTGGAACGCTCATGGCCACCGCAGCCTTGACTTGCTGGGCTCAGGTGATCCTTCTGCCTCAGCCTTCCGAGTAGCTGGAACTACAGGCACACACCACCACACCTGGCTAGGTTGCATGCTTTTTAAACCTTTCCTTTGATGGGGCAGGTTGTTAAGGTGATTGGGTGGTGATCTGTTTCACTTCATCCTGAAGGGGCAGGTAAGCACAGGTACTGACATGAAGGTGATAGATGGCAGGCGGATGGTGGGTTAGTCACATAACTGTTGCCATGGTTATGGGGTCTGTTTGTGTCACATAGGTCATGAAGGGCTGATCATAATAGATTAGGTCATCTTGGATCTTTATGGCTAAAAGACAAATACTTGGAATAGCAAAGGAATCAGTACCTGGGGCGTTGCAAGACAATTATCAATAACTACCTCTGGGAAACCAGTTCTGTCCTTGGCTATTGGTTAGAGAGTAAGTTAAAGTGAACTGCTAGAAAAAGATAACAAAGTTAATCAATGTTAAAATGGCTGTTCTTGATCAGGTGTGATTGCTCACACCTATAATCCCAGCACTTTGGGAGACTGAGGTGAGAGTATAGCCTGAGCCCATGGGTTTGAGACTAGCCTGGGCAACTTGGCAAGACCTCATCTCTACAATAAATCAGAAATTAGCCAGGCGTGGTGGCACATGCCTATAGTTCCAGCTACTTGGAGGGCTGAGGTGGAAGGATCACCTGAGCCCAGCAGGTTGAGGCTGCAGTGGCTGTGAGTGTGCTGCTGCACTCCAGCCTGGACAACAGAGTGAGATTCCAACTCATTAAAAAAAAATACATACATACATAAAATAAAATGGCTGCTCTTTGGCTATTTCAGCTCCATCTTGGTCTTTTGTCCTTTCAAATAGATGTGTGGTGGTTCCCTATGGTGTGTAACAACCAGTGACCCCGGGGTGTCCACTTTCAGCCATGTTCTGGTGGTTTCTGGCTGGGGCTGTTGACACTAGAGGAGGGGACATCTGGTTTTTTCTAGACTCAAATGCAGGTTTCTCCTCATCTTGAACTTGAACCAATCATTTTCCTTTTGGGACCTGAATGATCTCATTTGTCTAAAGGGGCGGCCGGTGAGGCCCACCCAGAGCCATGTTGGATGGGAGGAGTTCTCGAAACTCAGCATCTTGGAGTTGGATCAGCCCTCCTTGTCACTGTGCACCGAGCTCAGGGCCAGGGTCCTCCAAGTTCATAGTCCATGTCTTGGACTTTCTTGCCCACTGGAGCTCCCAGCTGTCTGTGCCAAGGGCCTCTCAGCCAGGCTGTGTTCTGAGGAGACTCAGCTCTGGGACATGCGGCCTTTTTAGCTTATAGGGGGAAGAACTGGATCTTTGTGGGAGAAAGGCGGCATTGTGAGGACAGAAAGGGAGGGACACCCTCAGTGTGTGCAGAGCACTTCACCATGGTTTTGCATCATGTGTGTAAACTCCAAACAGCCCTGTGAGCTTGGTGTGGTTATTCTCACATAAAAGATGTAGAAACAGTCTCAGAGGAGGTGGGTCACAGGCCTGACGACACACAAGTGACAGGACTGGGACCAGCACTTTGGGCTTTGGACCCCAAGGTCAGCTTTTGTCCTCAGCCCTTTAGTTGCTTTGAATTTTGGGATCTGGGCCAAGCTAGGAGCTCCTGTTGGAGATGGAGGGGCTGGGGGTGGAGGGTGGTGGTCACTCTGGCCTGTCTGCCTCTGTTTCCAGGCTGCAGTGGAAGCACACCTCCTCCCTGAAGGTGGCCAATGAGCCGGTCTTGGCATTCACACCAGGCAGCCCCGAGCGAGAGGCACTGCAGAAGGTAACTGGGGGTGGAGGCACCCCATGGGTGCAGGGCATGAGGCCAAGGCAGCCCCCGGCACTTCTAGATGTCTCATGCCTACAGCTGTCACCCACTCCTGTCCTTGCTTCTAGCTTTGTGGGGGGATCCCCAGGCCCAGGGAGGGCAGTGGGTCTGGAGGGTGGGAGGAGCTGGAACAGCAGGGTAGCAGCCAGGACCACTTCAGGGCTTCCCAGGCCAGGTCAGAGGTCATAAGCCCACATGTTTTATTTTTAAAAACATTTTTCAGTTAATTGACAGTATTTTAAAAATTGTGAGATTTCATATAAATTTCAGATGCGGTATTTTATCTTTGTGTGATGGATAACACTTGGGTCACCTTCAGAGGGTGACAAGGGCCAGAGCTGAGTCCTGTTGCCCCCTGAGGGGAACGTGCATTCTCTGGTGGCCACATGCCCGCCTAGGCCCTCTCTCATTTGTGTTCCTGTCTGAGCATCTGCTGACTGCGTCGGGGTCTTGGGTGGGAGGAAAGGAGAAAGGACATGCCCATTCTCTCTCTCGCCCCCCTCTCCCCAGGCCTTGCGGGACCTGAAGGGCCAGACAGAAGCCATCCCGTGCGTGGTGGGGGATGAGGAGGTGTGGACGGCAGATGTGCAGTACCAGGTGTCGGTACGTCCTCCCTGGACCCACGGCCTCCCTTGGACCTGCGACCTGCCTGTCTGAAACTCGTGAGCACCTCATGTGCAGACTCTGACCTCAGGGGCTTTGGGGTGCCTTCCCAGATTTTGAACTCTATGGACTAGCAAAACTTCTAAAGCAGAGGGCTGTGCCCACTCTGTGCCCGACCCTGAACGGGGTCCTGTCTCCCGGCAAGAAAGACCCTGAGGAGTTCACCCGGCAGCTTCTGGTGTTCCTGGTGGATTCTTCCACAAGGGGGTCTGGAAGCTTTTGGTGGGGAGCCGGGCCCCAGCCCCATGCTGCTCAGGTGGCATTGACCTCAGAAACCCCCTGCCCAGGCCAGGGCACCCGTTGTAGCTGTGCCAGGAGACCCCTGGGTCTTTGATCTGGGGGAGTGCAGGTCTGGCCCTTTGCAGGCAGGGCAAGCGCGTTCTGGCTTTGTCCTAAGGGAACCCTGGGCAGGCGTGTTTGGGGGAGGGGCAGCTGATGGGAGGGTCCAGGGCCCTACTCTGAGAGTTCCCAGGACAGCCTGGGGCAGGAGTCGTCACTGGGGTGTTCTGGAGTCCCTGTTCTTGGTCAGGACCAGCAGATCCATGACCTGGGGCCATCGAACATGGTCTGGGGCCTACAGTTCACGTGGCACCCTGGGTCTGTGCCTGGTGTGTGGTGGTTGCTCACTGAGAGCGACTACCACAGCTCTGCTCCCAGTGTCCCTGTAGCTGCTCAGAACCTGCCCTTGCCTGCGGCTCCCAGGCCTCTGAGGCCACTGTGGTGGTCAGGATTTTTCCAGCAGTGAGACTCTGAGATTTTGACAGTCTTCTGGGTGGACACTACTGATTTTCATCTCCCGGGTTGCCTCGCTGGCCTGGCCAGGGGGTTTGACCGTGTGGTGATTGTTGTAGCGCCAGATGTTTGGGGTAGTGGTGAGTGAGTGTGTGGGCAGGGTCTGTGTGTGCTGGGGCATACTGACGCTATCTCCAGTTCACTGGGACGTGCTCAGTGTGAGGGCCCTGGGTCCCAGGCACCTTCTCGGCCCCTAAGTCTCACAGGCCTGTCTCAGCTGTGGGCAGGATACAGGGTGGCCGTGGCAAGGGTCTAAAATGGAGGGAAAAGGCCACCTTCTATTCAAACCTAGACCAGTGCTAGGCAATGGAATTTTCTGCAGTGACGAGTAAACACTGCTTATCTGCATTGTCCATTGCTGCAGCCACTGGCTGCATGAAATGTGACCAGTAGCCGGTCTCAGTGGCTCAGCCTGCAATCCCGCACCTTGGGAGGCTGAGGTGAGTGAATTGCTTGAGCCTGCGGGTTCGAGACCCGCCTGGACAATTTGGTGAGACCTCATCTCTACAATAAATAAAAAAATCAGCCGGGCATGGTAGCGTGTGCCTGTAGTCCTAGCTACTTGGAAGGCTGAGGCGGAAGGATTGCCAGAGCCCAGCAGGTCGAGTTTGCGGTGGCTGGGAGCAGCCACTGCACTCCAGTCTGGGTGACAGAGTGAGACTCCAACTCAAAAAAAAAAAAGCAATGTGACCAGTGGCCATGTGTTAGGAAGGCTCTACACAGCCCACCAGAAGACTGAGAACTGGCAAAAGTGTTGACAATTCTGGCATAACTATTGCCTGCCCTGGTGGGGAAAGAAGTGAAGTTTCTCCCTGCCATTTTGGTCGTTCAACACTGTTGGGGGCCACCTCTAAGTGCTGGTTGAGGCTCTTTCTGTTGAGATGGTAAAAACAGGGACTCAGGAAGCAGTTGCCCTGTTCATAATGACCTTGAGGGATAGCAGAGGTCCTGAGCTTTTCACGACACTTGGCACATAATTTGGGCCTCACCTGGTGACAGCGTACATTACTGAGTTACAGCCTCATCCCTGACCGACTTGGGAAGAATTTTCACTCGTGATCCCATCTGGTCCTGCTTCCCATGCTAGGAGGACGGGGGCACAGTCCACATTTCCCAGATGAGGAGACTTGGAGAGGGAAGTGAGCTTACACAGGGCCCCCTCTGCTAGTGGGGGCAGAGCTGGCCTCTACCCTCTGTCTGTCTGACCACAAACATCCATACTTTTGGCTGGGTGTGGTGGCTCATGCCTATAATCTCAGCACTTCAGGAAGTTGAGGCAGGAGGACAGCTTGAGCCCATGAGTTTGAGACCAGCCTGGGCAGCATGGTGAGACCTCATCTCTGCAATAAGTAAAACAATTAGCTGGGTATGGTGGCATGTGCCTGTAGTCCCACTACTCGGGAGGCTGAGGCGGAAGGATCGCCTGAATCCAGCAGGTTGAGACTGCAGTGGCTGTGATCGTGCCACTGCACTCCAACCTAGGCAACAGGGTGAGACCCTGACTCAAAAAAGAAAAATTCATGCTTTTCCTGAAAGGCCCAGTGACCTGGGCCTTTCTCCTGGACCGTGAACCTCCCAGAGCTGGAACCATGTCTTGTTTGTTGTGTGGCAGGTGCTCCAGGATGCTGAAGAGGGGGGGATGGGGGAGGGCCGGCCAGAGAAGCCTTCATGGGGAGCGAGGGGAGAGAGGAGGTGCGCCCAGGACTTTCCTGGGAAGCAAGTCCGGAGCCACTTCACGCCCTCCTGGCACTTCCCTCCTGGGCAGTGACCTCCCTCTGTCTCCTTTCAGCCCTTCAACCACGGACACAAGGTAGCCAAGTTCTGTTATGCAGACAAGGTGAGTGAGTCCTGGCGACCCTGGGGTGGGCTCACTGCCCCTGCTGGGCCCTGCCAGCTGCTGATATGGGAGGGGGCATGCGCCTCTGCTTTCTGCTTTGGCCATGGGGGTCAGGGGAGGGCGGCTGGCATGAGGGAAGCCTTGGGTGGTGACTTTGGCAGGGTCAGGCATGCAAGGGCCGGCTGGCGCCAAACTCCCAGACATGCCCATTGCGGTGGGGCAGCCTTGGTTTGGGGAGGAGGCAGATTCTGGAAGCTTGAGTCAGAGCAGTTGGAGACACCATAGATGGAAAGGCAGGGAATTGGCACTGGGGAGGCCAGCAGGGGGGATGGGGCCATGGGGTCTAGAGCAGGGTTGTGAGGATGAGGTGGTCTGTGTCTGGGAAGCCCCCGACAGGTGTGTGTGTAGCCCAGGCTGTGGCCCGACCTCAGGGCTCTGACGGTGGGTTCCGAGGCGCCAGTTCCCAAGAAGGAACCATGCGAGAAAGCGGAGTCGGTCTAATGGCAGCAGGACTCAGCGCCAGGGCCTTGGCTTGCTGACCAGCCTGGGGTCCTTAACACTTTGGATTGGCAGCAGGACAGGCTCTGAATCCGGGCAGCCCAGCCAGCCACGGGACATGGCATCTGTATCCGTGGGGATGCGGGGGGGGGACGGACTGTGGGGACATGGCTTTTGGGATTCCCTCGCTCACTCCCCAGGCCCTTCCCGCTGCAGGAGGCAGCCCCCACCTCCTCCTCTCTTGCTAGGGCCTGCTCAACAAAGCCATCGAGGCCGCCTTGGCCGCCAGGAAGGAGTGGGACCTGCGGCCTGTTGCAGACCGGGCTCAGATCTTCCTGAGGGCAGCAGACATGCTGAGCGGGCCGCGCAGAGCCGAGATTCTCGCCAAGACCATGCTGGGACAGGTGCGTGGCTGTGGGGCGGAGCGGGGTGGGGGCACACCCCTGTCAGCAGACGTCCGTGGGGCAGCTTCTGGTGCCAGATCCAGAGATGTCCTTGAGGGATGGAAAGGCATACGTTACCAGACGAGCAGACAGTGCTGAGCCACAGGTCCTGCCATGGACACGCCCATCGCTCCATCTCTTCAGTCCTCGCTCCTGAGCCTTTGTCCTGTTCTCTCCCTGCCTCTGGCTTGGTCAGACCCCCGCCGCCCTTAGGGTGGTCTTTCGGGCCACTCCTGGCTTAGGAGCCACCCAGACCTCTCCATCACTGAGAGGCAAGTCCCAAGCCCTACGTCCCATACCTGGGTCCTTCTGTCTGTCCAGCTCGCCGGCTGCCCTCCCCTGCCTGGCCATTCTGCCCGTGTTGTAGCCAGTTAGGACTTAGCGCGACTCCCTGGACTTGGCCGGTGTCCTCTCCACCTCTGCCTACGGTGTCCCCTGCCTGGAATGCCAGTCTGTCTTCTCTGCCTAGTGAACTCTCACCTCCTGGTACAGCCCAGGCGTCACCTCTCCTCCTTGAAGCTTCTTGAACCTTCTCCACCCTCTGTTCTCCCAGCGTAATGGTCCCTGGCCAGTTACAGCTCAGATCACGTGGGGTATCTTGAGTTCCCACGTATTTGTTGCCCCTTTGTAATCTTTCTGGACATTGTGGTCATGTCCTGATGTTCTCAGTGTTTTTCTGGGCTTCACAGGATGCCTTCAGGGAGTCCTAGCAAACTTCAGGAAAAAGGTATGGGGATGCTTCTTGCTCAAGGAGCAGCTCTGGCGGGCAGGATGTTCTGGGGCAGGGGCCGAGGGAGAAAAGGTTCATCTCACCCTCTGTAGAAACCGAGCCTCCCCTGCCAGTAACCTGGATTTCCAAAGGGTAAATCAGAAGCCAAAACCCTGGCTGCTTTTTGGGGTCAAGCATGGGCTGCTGCCTGCTCACCGTCTCTAGGGCGGGGGCCCCCTCTGCTGTTCTAGAGCTGGTATGACAGCTCTCACCCTGGTCGGTGCTGGGAGGGGGTCTGGCTCCAGGTGTTCCTGGGGAGCCACATATTGGTGGGAGAGTCTCTTTTTCTCTCTCTCCACTCTGTTTCTACCCTCCCTCTCTGTTTCTCTCTCCCTTTACTCTCTGCCTTTTTCTCTCCTCTTTTCTCTGTCTTTCTCCTCCTCTCTCTATCTTCTCTCTTTGTCTTTCGGTCTCTCTTCTCTCTTTTTCTCTCTGTCTCTCCATCTTTCCTTTCTTTCTTTCTTTTTTTTTGAGTCGGAGTCTCACTCTGTCGCCCAGACTGGAGTGCAGTGGCTGCTCCCAGCCACTGCAGCCTCGACCTGCTGGGCTCTGGCGATCCTTCTGCCTCAGCCCTCCAAGTAGCTGGAACTATAGGCACGTGCTACCACACCCAGCTAGTTTTTTGATTTATTGTAGAGATGAGGTCTCGCCAAGTTGCCCAGGCGGGTCTCGAAACTGCAGGCTCAGGCAGTCCACTCACCTTGGCCTCCCAAAGCGTGGCATTACAGGCTGAGCCACCGAGCCCGGCTCCATCTTTCTTTGTCTATCTCCTCTCTTTCTGTCTCTCCTCTATCTCCTATTATGTCTGTCTCTCTCTCCCCTCTCTTTCTCTATCTCTGTCTCCCCTCTCTCTGTATTTCTCTTCTCTTTTTTCTTTGTCTCTTCTTACTGTCTCTCTCCCTCCTCTCTCTGTCTCTGTCTCCTCTGTGTCTCTCTTCTCCTTTTCTCCTCACTCTCTTTCTCTCTCTGTGTGTGTATGTCTGCTTCTTACTGTCTCTGTCTTTCTCTCCTCTCTCTGTCTCTGCTCTCTTTCTCTGTGTTTCCTCTCTCCTATCTCTCTCTCTCTCTGTGTGTGTGTGTGTGTGTGTGTGTCTGCCTGTCTCCTCTCTGTGTCTTTTCCTCCTTTCTCTTTGTGTGTGTGTGTGTGTGTGTGTGTCTGTATGTCTGTCTGTCTGCCTGTGTCTTTCCTTTCTCTGTCTTGCTTTCTCTGCTTTTCTCTCCTTTCTTCTCTCTCTCTGTCTCTCTCTGTGTGTGTTTGCCTGTCTCTCCTCTGTCCTTCCTCTCTCTCCTCTCTCTGTCTCCCTCTCTCCTCTCTGTCTCTCTCCCTGTCTTTCTCTCCTTTTTCCTGTCTCTCTGTCTCTCCTCTCTCTTTCTCTCTCTCTGTCTGCCTCTGCCTGTCTCTCTCTCCTTTCTCTCTCTCCTCCCTCTGTCTCTCTTTCCTTTCTCCTTTCTCTCTTTCTCTCTCTCTCTGTCTCTATTTGTCTTTCTGCTCTCTCCTCTGTCTCTCTCTCTGTCTTTCTCTTCTCTGTCTCTCTGTCTCTGTCTCTCATCTCTCTCCTCTCTCTCCCCTCTATTTCTGTCTTTTTCTCCTCTTTCCTCTCTCTCTCTCTCTGTCTGTCTCTCTTTGTCTCTGTCTGTCTGTCTCTCTTTCTCTCAGGCCAGGTTAGGTCCCCTCTTTATTTGGCCTAACACTGAGCTTCTAGGGAGGAATCACGCCTTAGCTCAGTGTCTGTAGGGGGTGCATCTGCCCATGGCCTTGGGTACCAACCAGGGCCACCCGGGCCGGGCATCCTCATTCTTGCTACCCAGAGCCCTTTTCCTGTGGCTCACACTTGCCATTAGGGAGAACAGACCATTTAGGGGCGGCATTGGCCTCCTGGTGCTGGGCCCAGACCTTCGCGCTGTGTCTGTCCCGGGGAGGAGCCCGTGGCGCCACACACAGGGTCTGTCCCAGTTTCCCAGCAGCCGGCCCCACCCCCCACATGGATGCGCCCTTTGGCCTGGAAGGCTCTGATCCTGCGTCTGGTCTGAGGACAGATCCCAGGTAGATCTCTAGATAGACCTACTACAGGTGGCTCAATAGGTTGCCAGAGCTGCCTGGCACCAGGATGGCGCCGGGAGCTGCCTGGCCTGCAGGAGGCTCAGGAGGGTGCCAGGCGGTGAGCATGGGGCCTTTCCCTCCCCAGACCCTTGCATGGCCGTCGGCCCTCAGAAGCTTCAGGTCCTGCCTGGGGCCTGACTCTGTGCCGATGGGCGGTCCCGCCACCCCTGACCTTGACCCCACTGCCTGCCCCTCAGGGTAAGACAGTGATCCAGGCAGAGATCGACGCAGCGGCCGAGCTCATCGACTTCTTCCGGTTCAACGCCAAGTTTGCAGTGGAGCTGGAGGGGGAGCAGCCCATCAGCGTGCCCCCCAGCACCAACCGTGTGGTGTACCGGGGGCTGGAGGTGCCTGCGGGGGTGGGCGGGGGGCGAGCGGG